TCTATATAGCTCTGCACACAGCATACCAAGGGTCAGTGTGTGAAGCTTTTTAATCCTAGGTGTGGCCCTCTTTATAAACATTTTCATAAGGGTTTATCTTCTCGACATCTGTCATTGCAGCACAGTGTAATCACATCTGTATGATTTATGCTCTGCTGTAGGACATAGAAGGGGAGTTTCATACAGGCAGGGCTGGCTGTTGATTTGTGTCACTTCTACTCAGGGCAGCCCAAGTTCCAAGTGCTGCTTTTTCACTGACAAGATGGGCCTTGTACTATATTTATAATATTATTAAATATACTATTATTCTTTTCTTCCATAGTGGCAGTTTAAAAAGCAGTGCACACCTTTAATCCCAGCACTTGGGAGGCAGAGGCAGGTGGATCTCTATGAGTTCGAGTCCAGCCTGGTCTACAAAGCTAGTTCCAGGACAGTCTCCAAAGCAGTACAGAGAAACCTTGTCTGGAAAAAGCAAAACCAAACCAAACAAAAAGCAAAAACAGGCAAGCAAGCAAACAAGCAAGCAAGCAAGCAAACAAACAAACAAAAAAACAGCATTAATGATGATAATAGTAACCATTGTGGAATACTTATATGTACTAATTAGCCACATATATTTACTGACTTGTTTGATCTTTTCCCTACATTCAGTTTAATAGATTCTGGTTGTTATCATCATATAACAGATGAAACCAGAAAGGACAGACTAGTTAGGTAGCCTCCTGAAGACAAGACAAGTCACAGGGAAAGCTTCTGGAACACACCACTGAGTTGTCTTAGTTCCCTACCCACTCCCATGCATCTCAGTAACTCTTTCTGAGAGCTGGACTGTGCATGTAGTCATTGGTTCCAGTTCCAGCAGCTTCTAGGGCCCTGCCTATCCCCAATGGGATCTGTCATTCTTGCTGACAATGATATGAATTTTCCTCTTTCTTGGTAGGTCAAGTACAAAAGAGATTTTGAAGAAAGCAAAGGGAGGGGCTTCAGCATCGTCACAGACACCCCTGAGCTACAGAGGCTGAAGAGGACCCAGGAGCAAATCAGTAACGTAGGTGTCCCTTTTCCTGACGATGGGGTGACTCTGGCATGTGTCTCTGGATGAGAATGGGAACTTAAGTGAGTGTGAAGCATATCTGTTGCTGAGTGGTATTCAGTCCACTCAAAAAACATGCCAACTTCACCTACTAAACTTCCCCTCTGATTTCTTCAGTTATTTACAGCCCACTAGTTATAATTCAGTGTCTCTTTCATATATTTTGAATGTCCTCAAGCCTTCAAATTTGATCAAAATTAAATGTTTGTAATTAAAAATTCTGACAGTTTTCTACCCTGTAGATAACTATATAAAGATAATATATAGTTTGGTAACATTTAATCTGGTATTTTCTAATTATGTATATACTTTAGATATCTGTGAATCATGTTACACCTACTTTTAGAAATAAACATTTGCATATGTAGTTACTTTCTACTTGGAAGCTACATCGTTTTTGCAATATATTTTCCAAAATAACAAAAGTTGGGACTGGCAGAAGTCCAAGGCACATAAGAATGTGGATTCAGTACTTAAGAAAGTTGGATAAATGGTTCATTATTAACTTTTGTAATTCATATTTGTGATTGTATTTCTCCTATGGTATTATATGAAATGTGTCAACATGTATTTTTCTGCAAAGGAACAGTTCAGTGTTAGATATCCAAAATGGAAATCAAAAGCTGTGTATGATATGGTTGTGAGGGAACGTGCAGAGCTCATATCTCTGTTTCATGTGATTGTGACTGTCACTTGTACAGGTATTACAAATATGTGTATATACATACTTTGTGTATGTACATGTTATAAGTAATATAGTCCTAATTTCTAGGAAATGCTTATAGTTAGCAGATGAATTTAAGTTACTGATATTGGGCCATGGTCATGAGGTACATGCATATCTATGTATATTCACACACACACACACACACACACACACATACTATTTGCAACTAGAGTTTAGCATGTAGTTTGAGAAAATCTTATTTGTCAAACATTCAAGAACAGAAATATTTGATGCTTAAAATGTTATTTCAAGGCTGGGAAGAAGTGTTTCTTTTTATCACATCCTCTAAGGTTTATCCTGTTTCATCTTTATGTGAACACTTTATATTAGAACTGACTTTTTCATCTAAAGAGAAGGAGTTGATACCTATGACCTGATGATATCTGTCTTTTGGTTTTTCTTATGACTTTTCCGACTGCCAATAATGAATGATAAAGATAATTGCCCTCATTTCCCTCCATTCATTCTTTCCTCAAACCAAAACCCTATTCTTGTTTTAAAAATACAAACTAAGGATGTATTTCATAGATAGTTCTACTCATAGTTGTAAAATGTTTTACCCACTACAATTCTGAAATGACCGACTAGCTTAGAAATTTACTTCTCAAAGAACTAAGCAACTCTACTTAAGATATCCTCATGGCAACTAACACGAAGACGGCAGCTCATTCAAAGGTAAGCCTTTTCATGTATGTTCAAATTAAGTCCATGTTCATAAGTAATTAGAAAATAACTGATCATTTCACCAAATTTTATCATTAGCAGGAATACACTTTACATTCAATGCCAGAGGTCATTTGCAGATCCATTATTAATTACGCCAAACCCCTTATAATGCAGGTATGTATAAATCTATAATTATTGAGTACATTGCAGTCTATTCAAAACAGCAGTGTGATATGGCTTATGAGACAGACAATGGTCAGCTTTAAAGGCATCTAATTTAGACTGTATCTTAAAACCACTCCCCTTTTGCATTCTCTTGGTGTTAGCAATTGTAGTAATTGAAGTAGTTGTTCATTTAGCCACAATGAGGCCTACCAATGATTGGATTAAAGAAAAGAATTTACAATATTTCTGTTAAGTCTCTACTTTTGAAGAAGGGAAGCTGCACAATATTCCGAGGTCTGGTGAATTTATTACTCATTTACAAGACCACAACTTCATGGAATTTTTCCATTCTGCACTGGGTTTTCCATATTACTCCAAGGTCCTTTGCTGTTAAAAATCTGACTTTATCTGAAAACCATCACATTGGTTATTCCAGACCACTTTCATTAAAACCCACTGAACAATTTTTGAGTAAACCCTCACAGATAGTTTTAAGTGTAACCTGGGTTGTTTCTGTTTTGAGAGGAAGGAGTGAGCAAGTGTCTAAATTGGGAAGACTCCAGACTCCCTGCTAGAGATGTTTGGGTGGAGCTCACCCCCGATGACAGGAAGCGATGAGAGTTGTGAGCAGAGTCTTCCATTAGACCCCAGATGATGGGGAGGAGCTGTGACCATTATAGTCTATATTTTCCTTTGTGATCTACTTTATATATTTCCAGTTCATTTTACCTTTGATGCTTAGTGGCTCTTTCTAAGCTGCTGTTAATCTCCTTTGAACTGGGGAAAACTATAAAGACATGAAGCTGTGAATTTAATAACTCCTAGGTGTTTGGGGTAATATGTTATGGATGAGTGGGCATTTTTGATTGCTTGTGTGTGTGTCTGTCACTGTTATGAAAAAATTTCAGACACGTTCATGTTCATTTGTCTAGGAACTGGAGTCATTTGGAAATACCGACTCAGTCTGCAAAAATGTTACAGGGGTGTGGGATAAGCGGAACCCTAAATTTCAAATTTTCTGTAATAAAAGAAGTAAATGAGGGTTAGCTTTGCCTTCTTTATCTTGGTACCCATAATGGCAACATAGTGGATGCATGAGCTTATTAAGTACTGGCATTTAAAGTGCTTCTGCCACATTGCCCAGGATAGCTGCAGAAAGAACAAGAAAAGAGGTAAGTTTTGGAATTTAATTACCCACAGGAAAGAACTTGGCTTTTAAAACAAAGTCCTCATTTTCCCCAGTGATGGATGTTCTGATGGCATCTTCATTTTCTTTCTTCCTTCCTTCTTTTCTCCCTTCCTTCCTTTCTTTTTCTTTTTTCTTTTGTATTTTACACATCAATCCCAGTTCCCTCTCCCTCCCTCCCATGCCCCTCACCCACCTTCCCATCCCATCACCCCCCTACTCCATAGGGAGGGTGATGCCTTCCAGGAGGGGTCAACAAAATCTGTCAAGTCATTTGGAGTAGGGACTAGGCCCTCCCTCCTGCCTCTAGGCTAAGTGAATATCCTTCCATGGGGAATGTGCTTCCAAAGTCCTTTTGTGCACCAGGGATACATCCTGGTTCCACTGTCAGAGGTCCCTTAGACTGCTCAGGCCTTCTAGCTGAGACCCATGTTCAGAGGGTCTGAGTCGGTCCAATGCTGGTTTCCCAGCTATTAGCTGGGGGCCCATTAGCTCCTCCTTGTTCAGGTCACCTGTCTCTGTGTGTTTCTGTAGCCTGGTCTTGTCCTCCCTCTCTGCATTTGGATTTCAGTCTCCATTTTCATTCAAGATGTTCATATCCAAGGATGTTTGACTGGCTGTTTATGCTTTTGGGACTTAGAGATTTTTTTTTTTCATGGCAAGTCAGGATATTCAGCTGAAAAATTTAATAGAGGGCAATGTATACAAGTTCTTTTTTTAATCTTAGGATCTCAGGGTTCTATGAGTTTTCACAATTAAGTCACTCCCCAATCCCTACATATCTTTGCATGCTTATTAACCATAGTTTAGAAAGGTACATGCACAGAATGAGTGAACTGAGGAATGTTGTGCCTATGGTGAACATTAAGACATCTTTAATCTCGTCCATATAGATATTGTTGCTCTAGTTTCTGGTGGTTCCCACCCTTTGACCTCTAAACAGAGTGGGCCTTTAGGGTGCCTGCGGCAGGGTGGCAAGGCACAGTGCAGGGACTCAGTGTGGCCTGCCAGAGATGACTGATGTGTTTCCTTGTGCCTGCTCATGCACACATAGAGGCTCCACTTTCAATGAGCTCACACAGTCTGGGGATGAATTGGGAAGTAAAATGGTGAAATCCAGCCCCCAAGAAGTTTTTACAGCTTCATGACGTGGATAAGAACTAGGTGTTTATTTTCTAATTCATCATAGGTGGAAGAAAAGTATCATATGAAGAGCAAAGAAAAAGGAGCCAGTGAGAGAGTCCTAGGCTTTCCCAGACTGATGGAAACAGTAAGTGTGCCATTACCACATCTGCCTGCATTTGTGCTTGTCCTTGTTGCACAGGGGAAGAGTTCTGTGCGCCTGTGTGACTGTCCTTCCACCACTGCCCACCAGACTTTCTTGTACTCTGTGAGTGCCTAAATTTTTATGTATCCTGCTTCCCAACTATACTTCTTTTTTTTTTTTGCTACCACTTGCAACCCAGCATAGTCATTCATAAGAAAAGCTTGCTTGCTTTGCAAGAAAAGCTAAGATCAAAAGCTGTCTGTAATTTGATACTGAAATGTAATTAATTCTAACTCTTTTGATATAGCCACATAAATTTTCATTGACTTAGAATGTAAAATAAATTATACGCCCATTAATAAACTCACAAGGACACTGCTGATTTAGTTCCCCGAGACTTTATGAGTTAGCTTCAGAAATATTGGATTATTGGAACTAAATAATTGAATACAGTGTCTATGGACTATTAAAAGATTTGATTCAAAGTTAAGTTGAATGTGAGTGTGAGCGTGAAAGGGTAGGGACAGTTATCTAGGGATTTGGTCTCTGTTTGTAATTTAAATAAATCATTTTGACAGAGACTGACTGTAACCATGTTCAGCTGCTGACAGTGTGAAATTGAGTTGTATGGTGGACAGAAGACAAGCAGTCAAGAGAAATCCCCAAAGGTAAAATTTGTTATGTAATTGGGTCAACTCATGCATGAGAAATGCATGCTAATTGTAAACTGGTGGCAAGATTATCCTGTAGGAGGCAATTAGGTCTTATGTGAATCCAAACAACTGACACTGGATAACTTGCTTTCTTTTTGTATACAGCAAACACAGAAGTAATTTTTGAAAAGAGAGAAAAATAAAAATTAGAAAGTCATGCAGCGTCCATATGGATCTTTTTTGGGTTGATTTTCCTCCTTATATAAGAAATACAACATGCATCATTAAGTAAAAATTTACATGAAAGCTCTTGATTTTAAGTAGTTCAGTACACTAATTTGTAAGGAGAATGGGATGGTATTTCTTTGTAACCCATTACTAGTTTTATTAACATAATCAATTAGTTATGAAGTTGATGGTAAGAAATAAGCCCTTGAAAGTGTGTATTTTTAGAGTGAGCCTCTACATTACTTTCGCAGCCTGCATTTGCCCTCCAGCTCATCCCCACTGGCGACTCTAATGCAATCCATTGTAGCTGTGGGGCAGTAGCACACTTTCTCAAGGCAGAGACCAAGTATGTCAGAGAAAGCAGCAGGACAACAGCACGTATTTTTCTTATAATGTCTAACACATGTTCATGAATACTTCATGCATTTTGGAACACTTTGACACACTGTTTAATTAGACCCTCTGAACAACCCCTCTCCTCAGGGAAAGGATTTCTATAAGGAATACTTAGATTTTTCTGAGAGAACTATATGGAAAATTACCTTTTGGCCTTTCCTTTCCCATTCATGGTCTCCCTCACACCTGGCTTTGCTTTATTTTTTCATGTAGGGCAGAACTTCAAAGGCTGATCTCTGCTTTTTATCCCCAATTTTTTAGCCACAGTTACTTAAAGAAACAAATATGTCTCAGACCAGTAATTACTCGTGCCTGGCAAGAACAGGGGCTCTGACTAAAGAGCAGCGACTTGAGGGGTGGTTAGAGAAGAACCACTACACTATGAGAATTGGCACCTGTGACTTCCGCTCTGAGACAGAGATGAAGGATCCAGAGGTGATATCTTGAGGTGCTGCTTTTGCAAAAGTCTCTCCCAGTTTCTTTTTCTTCAGTCCCTCCACACCCAGCCTCTCTTCCAGCTTCACTTCTCCAGCAGCCCCATAACTGGTCTTTTCTCCTTCCAAGCCCTCTTGCTCTTCCCATTGTATTTTAAACACCATTGTCACAAGACTCTTCCAAAGTGTCTGCCTCATCAAGACCTTGCTGTGACCCATTAAAAAAAAAAAACAAACAAAAAAACAAAACCCTTCAGACCTCCCCTTTGAGCAGGATGCAGGATGGAGTCTAATCTCTTGTGCCCTTTATCAGGAACTACTGGCCTTTCACAATTGCCCGAACTATTTCCGGCCTTATCTTCCACTGCTTGTCAACACTGCCTATTTCTTCCAGGCCTGGACTTTAATCTGTCCTGGACTTTCCTCTGAGTCATTCCTCCTGTTTAGGTCAATTTGACACCACTGGAGAATGAAGTCCTGACCCGTGATTGCAGGTGCCACTCACCAGTCAGCCATCTCCCTCACCTCTGGAGTAGTTACTGTGCTCCTCCGGGGAGGGAGTGTAGTCATTGTCTACAGTATGTCCCACATGTTGGTTGTAATTAGTATCTCATGTGCCTAATAGTCTTACTTCTTGAACTTCAGGAGTGCGAAGATCATGTACTCTTTTCATTTATTGTTTTTTAATCTCCGAGAATGCCCAAGCATGGCACATTGTCTCCTTTATTCAGGACAAGTCCCCGTCCCTTAGTTGAATTTCTGGAGTAGAGCCTTGGTTGTTCTTGCTCCATTCCAGGATGTTTTCCACATGATTTCTTCAAATTAGTCCTAAAATGCACATTTGACTGTCTCATGGTTTCTCTTAGAATCTAGCCATGGCTCACTACTGCCTTTAGGACAAAATGCAAAATACTTTGCATGGAAAGTGAGGCTGTCCCTGCTTTAGCAAGAGCTGAAACTTGGAGCTTTGGTGGCCCTCTTATCTCTGAGCCCTGTGGACTCATGCTTCTGGTTAGAAAGCTCTTTGCTTCTCTTCCTGTGCACACTGACTCAGTGGTTCCCTCCTCATCCCTGACCTTGCTTTCTGTCTTGTTGCTCTTGTCGTCTGCTTCCATGGGACCATTGGCATTTTCTCCTCTGCCCCATATTGGCCTTTATAAAGGCTTGATATAGCACTGTGCTAAACTGGAGAACAAAGCAACTGACACCTGCCTCTATCATTCTGGACCAGTTTTGCTTTCTACACACTTGTCAGCCTTGGCTCATAAATTCTTTCCTAGGATGGTGGTGGTGGGGAGGAACTAATCTGTTCTTTCTTTTTTCCTTCCTTCCTTCCTTCCTTCCTTCCTTCCTTCCTTCCTTTCTTTCTTCCTTCCTTCATTCCTTAAAAAAAAAGATTAATTAATTCATTGGCCATAATCTCCCTGCCTTCTTCTCCCAGTCCTTCGCCTCACTTCCCCTCTTCTCACTCCTCTTTCCACTCCCCCTGTTTAAAAAAGGGCAGCCCTCCCATGGCACATCAGGTTGCAGTATGCCTGAGCATCTCCCATATATTGAGGCTGGGCAAGGAGATCCAGTGTGAAGAATAGGTCCCAAAAGCCAGCATAAGAGTCAGAGTACAAGATCTCCAGTGGCCAGGCTAGGACTTAGTATGTAGCCCAGGCCCAGTGTGTATTGAATAACAAAATGAAGTAAAATAGTAAAGTATTTTGAGTCTTCTTTCTTGTCAAAACCCCTCTTTAGAAGGGTCTTTTAGTTTTAGACATTACTTTGAATTTTGCCATTCTTATTTATAATGCTTAATAATACCTATTTTTTTTTTTTTTGGTGCATGTGGGTGTGTGTGCTACTTAAATATGTGGTGATTTCTGTAGTTTTATTGAATGAATGCAGCAATACTTCTTCAGTAAAGAATGGCATATGTATGCCAGCTAGACATGTCCCCAGGTTTCTATGTCTTTCCACAACAATACTGCCAGGAGCGGACCAAGTATTCAAACATAGGAGCCTCAAGATAGAAGGAACATTTCACATCCACACCATAATGAGTTAATATCACAAAATGCCATAGGTTGGCATCATACAACAGAGGTTTATTTTCTTTCTGGTCTAGAGCCTGGACATGCTAGGTTCAAGGTTGAATGTGGTTGGGCTCTGCAAACTATCACTGCCTCCTCCTCCTTGTGTCTTTATGTGACCTTTCCTTGCATGCAGGTGTGTGTAGGGAGCTCTGACACCTTCTCTTCTTACAAGGCTGTAATTAATGCTGGATAGAAGGAGACATGATGTTAACATGAGAAGAATAACTACCCTGTGTTTGGGAGATGAAGAAGTAGAACTTTTGACCTTGCTATTTAAAAATGGTTTAAAAAGGATTTTACGAGGGGTTGGCAGTACCCAGTAGCTCAGCAGGTAAGATTACTTGCTGTGCAAACATGAGGACCTGAGTTCAAATTCTCAGAATCTTTGTAAAAGTTGGGCATGGTTGTACATGCCTTTAACTACAGTATTATGGGGCAGCAGAGAGAAGAGGACTTACTGGGCTTGCTGGCTGCCAGCCTAGCTCCAGGTTCTGTAAGATACCCTGTATCAAGGGAATAAGGTGGAAAATGATAAAGCAGAGAACTCAAAGTCCTCCTTGTACATGGATGTGCACACCCACAAGTACACATCCAGTTCACATACGCATATCAACCCCCACCCCCACCCCAGACCCCCCCCCCACACATGAATTTTACTGTGTGGTTTGTTTATACTGTTGCAAAGTAGAAGGTGCTATTTATTTTGTTTTTGTTTTCTCATTTTTTTCTGTATCTATTTCCCCAATTTCCAATTTACCTGTCAGTATGGGTTTCTAAAATACTCTAAATTAAATCAAACCATCCAAATTGCTTAACAGAAGTATAAAATAGGAAATGTAGATTTCCTCAACAAAACAAAACAGAACATTTAACCAAATCATTCTATTATCCATAAGATGGCACACATGTTTAATTATGGAAAAGTATTGGTCAGTTTGTTAATTTAATGATGGCTAAAAGAATATAATAATTTATACTTTCACACACACGCATGTTCTACATATACTTTCTCTATATTTGCTTTTGTGCTTATGAAAAATGTGAAAAGTCAAAGGCATAATTATGGATATTTTTCATTTGTCTTCCTTTCCCCTCCTGTCTGTAGAGTTGTGCTTTTAAATCTTGAGTTTCCCACAACAGGACTGAGAACATTAAGAAAACATTTTGCTCTTTAAAGACATATTTATAACTGAACTGTCTAGATGTGGATGCTGTGTTTCCCTGAGTGTGTGGAGTGTGCATGCGTGCCTGTTTGAGTGGAGAGCCAGAGCAGGAAATGTCAGCGCTGGTTTGTGCGGTTTGCTGTCTCCCTGCAGTGTTCTTGGCCCAGTCTGTGCTGACAGTGAACCACTGGGCTATCCCCTTGGTGCTTTGGGATCTTTTCCTGCCAAATATTGTTCTCGTGCAAGATTAAATGGCTGAATCAGTGTGGCCCGAATCTTGATCCTGCTGAGAATATTAAGGCTCCCGCGGGCTGTAATACAGATTGGCTGGCGAGAGCTCTGCTGGAGAAATAAACTGAGTTTCTCTAAATGAATCTAACGACTGCTGTGAATCTCTGTGTGTCCTGCAGCATGAGTGTACTGCTGGCAGTTAACCATTTATTGCCCTCATTTTCTCCCAAAGTGCTCCAGTCCACCCCTGTGCATTGATTGTAAACATTTTCATAACTTTATTTCACATTCATTTTCTGCCAGATAAGCCATTTGAGACATTAAATTACTAAGTACTCTGAAGGGTAAGTCCCTATTCACTCTCTTTCCTTGAGGAGGAAAACCGTACTTTTGTGTGCTTACAGGATAAAAGGGCTGTGGTGTCACTGAGAGAATACAGTGGCCATGTCACCTGGCTCTTTAGAGTGGATAGATTAACACCACACATTCTGATCACAGGCTTTATGACAATGGTCAGATGCATGCACCATACTTGGCAAAAGGCAGGACCAATGTAGAAATCATTTACAGTGCTCCAAACCTGATTCCATCTCCATTTGTGCTTTTAGGCTAGACTCAAACTGATAAAGATTCTAAATTCTGCAGAGATGATGGTGCGTCAACAAAGAAACACATCTAAAAGTTATTGAGAACAATGGCGGGCTCTAAAGCACAGAGCACACTCACTAATGTGAAAGTAGAGATGAGTGAGGTTGTCTGTAACCTTCTGTATAAGTTTAGTGAACTCTAATTTGGGGACCCCTTCCCCGACTTACATACAGAGCATGTTCTCAGTCTGCCCATGAAACACTCGTGCCATCTGCTTCCCACATTATTCCCATTTGTCTCCTGACACCTTGTGTATCTGTGTGTATATGTGTTTTGTGTGGGAGATGGTTTAGGAAAATTTGTCTGCGAATGAGATTTGCAAATGGCTAAGCACACCACCATCATAATAAACAACTACTAAATCCATCAGTGCTGTTTTAAATGTTTGCAGATGGTGCCACAGACTACAATATATTTTTAATTTAACATTTTCTGAATGTGTATGGGTATGTATTGCACACGTGCCACAGTACAGGTCAGAGGACAACTTGCAGGAGACAGTTCTCGCCTTCTACCATGTGCATCCCAGGGATCAAACTCAGATTGTCAGGCCTGTGACAAGTCCTCTTACCCATTGAGCTATCTTCCCAGTCCTGCAATAATATTCTTAAAACAAATATTTGCTACAAGTATGCCAAAAAGCTGGTCTAGGAGAAGGCTCAGAGAGACAGAGACAGAGACTGGAGATGTGATTCAAGGTTTAACAATGATTGTTGCTTTTACAAAGGACTAGACTTTAGTTTATAACTCTAACCTCAGGGATCCATGCCCTCACCTGTCCTTTACAGGTGTGTACATGCACACACACACACACAC